GCCCCCTCGGTGAGGGACTGCCCGCCCTCCGCTCCGCCTGCACCGCGTCCCCCTGCTCCTGCTCCCTGGGCCACCGCGGACAAGGGCAGCAGAGCAGAGCCTCTTGCCTAACCCCGATGGGAATCCGTGCCTGCGCTGTTGCAGCTCCCCAACTACCCACTGTCCTTTACTCATTGCTTCGTGTTCACCTGCTGCCACGTGGGACATACTTAATTTAGCAAAGACAGCAACTGACGAAGTCCTTTGGTCTTCTAACTCTGATTAGAAATACAAATTAAAGCTAGGGTGATGTCAGACTCCAAATTTAAAACCCAAATCTTCACCAGCATTTAAGCCTGGCCTAACAAACCTGTTTTGTTGTGGACTGAAGCAGCTCAAATCCCACAACGAGCCCTTCTGCTCAGTTGCTGCTTGGTTCTACTTCAGCAATGTGGTATTTGCAGACACAGTACTGCATTTGAGGCTCCAAACCAGTAATAAATAATATTATGTATCTTGCCCACAGCAGAACCTATGGGAGCTGCGTGTTGAGCCCTGCCTGGACTTGCATCTTACAGAGCTCCATGTCTCATTCACAGTCTTGGTTTTCTTCCAAACCTAAGAGCTGGCTACCAAAGGGCAATAAGAGCTGCTGAAATGTACACCTCTGTCCCCTCTCCCCTCACGGGCACGCTCTCCCCATCCAGGTGACTTCACAGAGCTGGGATTCATAACAGATGCACACTCGGTCACAGGAGAGGGGAGCTGCCAGACCCTGCTCAGCCCTCAAGGACCTCTATCAAAAAGCTCCAGGGAGTATCCAGGAGCAGCTACAGTGGCAGAGCAGCTGAAGGCCACTAGGTAGGAGAGCTGGGGAGGACACAAGCAAGGCAGGAATGCTGCAGGCTCTGAGAGCCAGAGCTGTTCTTTTGTGCTACAACACCATCAATTTGCAGATGGTGGTACAGGATCCTTCTGTCCCTGCACACACCACTCGAGGCTAGGCCATCTACGCCTCCTCATTTCCACCTACCCTGCCCAGAACCCTTATGCCTGTCAGTTTATTCCAGCAAGAAAGATTTAATAGTCCAAAATCGCAAGAGAGGCGGCAGTTTATCCATTCAGATGACAGCGAGGCATTTGTATCATAAAGGATTAGGAAGCACTAGAACAGATGACTGGGAGAAATACAGGATATCTATTATGAGAGCCTTTGATAACAAACACTTATCAAGATTCTCAGATGAATATGATTCTGCTTTGAGAGGAATACAGAGCAGATAATTTCTTGGTGCCCTTCTGATTGTCCTACAATGTAAACCTCCTACTGATATCCCATAGAACAAGAACAGAGCAGCAAACTTTACTTTTTTCGTACTCTTTTCTGTCCAACTCACTGTCAACTTTCTTGCCTAGTTTATTATATGTATTTTTACTTCATTCTGAGGCAAGAATTATGATACTTCTAATTATTATTAACATCTTATGTATCTCACTATCTGATGAGCATCCCGTTTGACTATTTGCTCAAGAAACTTAGAGAATTCACTCAGCTTGCTCGCAAGCTAGGGATGTTCCTTTGCATCTCTTCTTGCTCACACCAGTGGGGCTGGCCTGGACAATGTGTAAGTAAACATACACACATATATACCTAGATATTTTTTTGTTACTGCCTTTAGGTGCTGGTATTGTTAAAGAAATTCCATCTGCCATCTGCTGGGGGAAACTTTCTCTGAGGCAATGTGCTGTACTGACACAGATGACTGCTCCACTGGCAGCATGAAGAGGGAGTTATTTCTCAAGAGGAAGCTTTATTCTGTTAATGCACCAACTTCCAGCACAGATGCAAAGGGCACACAAAAAGTCAGGGTCGAGATGAGTCTGTAATAGAACACAAACCTCTGGACCTATGTCACAGCATGACAGCCTGGAAGCAAGAATTAACTCATTTCCAAATCCTACTATACTTGAACCTCCAAAGTGTTCAGGTTACAAATGCCATGATCACACTCATGAGGTGAACTGCATTTTAAAGACAAGTTGCTAAGCATTAAGTAAAAAATTCTCAATTTATTTTTTCAATCTTTTTGCAGACTGAAAAATCTCTGCAAGCCTATGAGACAGGCAGCTATCCTTGCCATGCCATAACAAGCAGACAGGAATTCAGCACCCACTTTTTAGATGCAGTCTTCAGTTTCCTGTACCCAACACTCAGCACCAATAACTGTCTTTCAAAGCAGCAGCAGCATTTGGCTGTCACACTTGTGGCAATGACTCCAGGCAATGTGGCTTCAGGCACAGGACTGAGGAAAATGAGATTGCTAATACACCCTGCACTGCTGCATTGGCAGCACAGTTACACATAACTCCAAAGTGGACTCAGGTATCCATTGCCATCAAAATAGTTGGTCTGTTCTTTCTTTATACCCCCAGCAACAGATCCTCACTGATGGCCCTGAGTGGATCACAGGAGTCAGTTGGATTAGGTCTCATTGATCCAATCAAGAAATACACTTGCAATTAGGTTTCCTGGGAATCAAAAACATCAGAATTCAGATTGCAAAACTGCTATAACCAACACTGCAGAAGGGGAAAATATACAACTGGAACACAAAATATGCTCATCAAGTAGAAATATCAGATACACAAAATTATTTCCCCAAATTTTAAGATGTCTACCAGAATAAAAAAAAACAAACAAAGCAAACAGAACAGAAATGTAAATGCCAGGGACAAAGCCCCAAATCCTCTGGTGAAAAGGGAAAAGGACTGGAAGAAGTGGGAGATATAGAAGTTCACAAATGGTTGAGTTAATGAACAATCTCATGATAGTTATCTGCTATAACTATAAAGCTATAAAGCTTTGAGATCCTATTAAGTCCTCATCTTCTAAGGAATGAAAAGTCCCCACCACACACACACACAAAGTACCTCCACTTTTTCCTAAGGTGTTTCCTGAAAACCCCAAACTGCTGGAGGCTATGAGCTCCTAAAGCTACTGTCAAGAAGTAGGCAGTTAAACACCGCCTTTTTTCAGTATTAGTTCCATTGTAACTTCATCTGCAAGTCTAGGTGAGAAGTGCAGAACCACACATGCCACCTAAACTGTTACTCCAAAATACAATATTGTCAAACTAGAAAAGAACAGGGTGTTGAACAAACTGTAAAATGTTTTGACTCAAAGTGTTGTACAGCAGATGGAGCTACAAGGATGGCCTACAAATAGCCACCTACACTTGAGAATACCCAGAATGATAAATATACAGAATCTATCCCATCAAGGGAGTGTCTTCAACATTTTTCTGCTGCAAAGTGTCACACAGATGTTAACAACAAAGCAACTCTGAAAGTTTCACATCAACAAAGATTTAAAAGAAATAAATGCAATTAGTTTGCAATGTTTATTTGGGTGTCACATAAAAGTTCAAGTTTTTGTCCTGACCAGTATCTATAATTGTGTCACCTTTGCTTAAGAGAGAGAAAAGCAGGAGAGGAGTGGGGACTGAGAAAAGGCATTTATTGTTTCACCATATGGCAGTGACTAAAGTGAAAATCAATTTGTTTCAAACCAGATTCCTCCTGGAAGATCATGTCTATCCATTACCATACTTCCCAAGAAGATTTGGACACTCCTCCCTTTTAGCAGAACTAAGTGCACTGCAAGGGCTCCACAGGTTCCCCTTGACCTCCTCTATGTTCCTCATCCTGAAAATGATCCATCTGGATAACCTTTGGATTTGCCAACCATATCCAGAAATGCTCACAACTGCCTGATGTTATTGCTTATTTAGCAAAAGAGAGTCAGTTTCCCAAATGAAAACTTAATCTCCACAGCCAAGTAGAAATATTCATAGGCTTTAAATAAAGAGCGTACTTTTTCTTCCTTCACAGAAATTAAGGACTTGCAGGTGAGTTTCTGTTGATAATTCCAAAGACTTTGAGAAATCCTGGAGGAGAAATACCACAGGACTCCCTAACTGCTCACATTATTTCACATCAGTTCGAATTGTTTCTTGTATAGCCTTCAAAAAACCATTAGTGAAATAAGCAGCTACATTCAAAAAATAGTTGAATCTACCAAAGTTGATAACATAACAAACCAACAAATGCTAGTTTGGGACTCTTTGGGTTAAAATACAGTTTTTTATCTTTGAAGTTTAAATGAGGGCTCTGAAAGAGAAATTTTGTATTAATCTAGGCATGTATGTGCTAACATAATGCAATTTTTACTTTGACTGTACTAACAGGCAATAGCCATGATCATCTAATGACTTTCATCCCATTGAAGAACACAAAAAATAGGCCTTCACACACATAAGCAGGTTATGAAATCCCTGGCCTACACCAAATGTAAAACAGGCTTTCAGGAAGTCCATCAGATGCTTCTAATGAATGCCTTGCACACTCCCACAAGTCCCAGGCTGGAACAGCTCCATCACTGACACCCTCCTGGTGCTGAGGAATGCAGTGGGCACAAAGATTTCCATGGCAGTGTCATATGGCAAACTGATATAAAACAACAGTGCACATAACATTTATAAAAGTATGAGCAGATTTTTAGTTTCATTAATAATACAGGAGAGATTTAATAAATATGTTTTATTTTAATCCAGAAGTAAGATATTGGAGGTTTCCTTTTGTGTGGGCAAGACATTCCCTACCCCCAGCCTCACATGTATGTTATTGAGGATACAATTCCAAATATCTTAAGAGCTGTAATATCTCCCTTCATCTGGTACCTTCTCACCCTCAACCTGCCTAGGACAGAGTAGCTTAGAATTCCTGCAAGACAATATAGGGTTGATGTCCTATACTCCAAAAACCCTGTGGAGTATTTTTAGAGGCTGAAACAAAATGCATCTTGTCTCCTTTCAATTCAGACAGTGGCCCTAAACTAGAGAGATTTATATAGGACAAACTGACAATTAAGGGCCAAGTTTCATAAACAAATGTCTTAAAGAATGTTTAATTCATGACAAACAAGTTTTGTCCAGAACATTGTTTCACAAGTGTCCACAAATACAAATAATGTGTGGAACTGGGATAAGATTGAGAACAGTGTCCATGTTGTGTAAACTAAAAAGGGAAATGCACGACATCTGCAAATCAGCCATATGGCAAAGGTGAAATACTTCTTTGCCAGACTCTAAAAGTGAAGTCATCAATCCCAAAGAGCAAGTCACCGTGTCACTGCCACTGTCTGGCATCCAGCAGGTACTCAGAAACATCAAAGAAATCATGTGCAAGTGCACAAGTCCAAGAAATGCAGTGCCAAAACCAAAAAAGTAAAGCAAAACTGCATTGCAATAATTTCTGAGAACACAATTCCACCAGGAAGATGCTCTTCTTGGGATGAAAATCCTTAACAGAACATCAAAATAGCCCTTCTCCTTGGGTAAAGATCTCTTTTCTTGTGGGCCTGTCATGTTAGGTGTTCAGCCATGATCTTCCACAATTCCTGCAGGAGCAGAAAACATACAGAGGTAATTAGATAACCAGAAATATTATATCGTGCATGTTTCTCAATAACAGAAGTTTACAGCTAATTGAATTCTTCATAGATATTAGAATATTATTTCCTGAACTCTGAACTGGGAAAGGAATTACTGAAAGTGTGAAATGAAAGCTCTCCTACAAGAAAATTGAAAAGAGATATTGGTCCCATTTTCCAGTTCAATCACAAAAATGGCATTTTACAAAGCAAAAGTCTCTTATCCTTGGAGGAACTGAGTGCAATCTCAGTCACTCTACTGCTGGTGATAGAAAATCAACTCTGCCCCAGCCAAAACCAGGACATGTCAGTCTAGTACAGATTATGTAAGCACAAACAAGAATCATTTTAAATCAGAAAAGCTAAATGGAAATAAAAGATAATGTTTATTCTCCTGTTCTTACTTCATATTACATAAACAGCTGATAACTAATTTGAGATGATTAGCCTGACACATTACATTTATTTTCATGAATGCCACTTACCAACTGCTCAATTCGCTCATAAACAAGGAACTGGCAGAAATCAAGTTTAATGGGCTCCGCTGTATATTTCATTTTTCCATCTTGGAGGTTCTCCAAATCATTCAGAGTATTTCTAAAGTGGCTGTAGGCTTCACATGTAACATCCATATGTCTTAAAGTGAAGTTCAGCCTGGCAAAAGAGTACTTCATTTAGAACATCTCTCCTAAACTGGCATCTTAAGGGGGTGTGTAGCTTCCCTCAGCTAATGAAAAAATGTGTCTTCTCAGCATAATTAACTCCCTTCAGCAGCCAAAAACATGTACACCCCCCATTCCTGAAAAGCAGAAAAGATGTTATGTCAGCATCAATACACAGTAACTCTTGGATGAATCCTTCCATTGATTTTAGGGCACTGTGCCATAACAAAATCATTGGCTTGGCTTCCTGGACAAGCACCTGGCAACAAACCACAGGAAGAGTTACTGCTTACATATCTCTAGAGATTTAAGCAAAGCCTATTTGTGTATCAGCTTATGGATGGACTCCAACTACTTCAAAACATTCATTGATTCCTTTAAAGCAAACATGAGAAACTGTTCTAGAGTTGCTCAAGCTAGGAAATAAATACCCTAATTCTAAACCACATCATTCCACCCTGTGACGTTAAAAATATATAGCAAATGTTGTCAGGCATTACAGAATACATCAATCTAGCCACCTATTTATCCTTTTTTTGCACAGAGGTTATCTCAGGTGAGGCAAAGGTAGGACAACAAAAGGCAAACTCTTGTTAAACTCAAATTCTGGACTGATAAAAATTAAGCATGTAGGGAAAAAAAAAAAAAGAAGCTTGTACTGAGAATGTACTGCAGCCTGTGATCATCTGATACAATGAAAATCAGAAGCCAACCTTTAATTAAAACACACAAAGTGTTTGGTGCTTTTTATATTAACTTCTTGGTAATGCTCACCTCTTTTCCAGTGCTAAATAAACTGTACAAGAATTTCTCAAGTTGTGTGTGATTCTATACAGGGTTCTGAACAAAGCATCTGTCAGGTCATCATCATAGAACACTATAAAAAACAAGATGAAGAGCATATGTATAATTAAGGATATAATTTACTTAAGTGTCCTTTATGAAACAACAACAGGCCTTATTTGATTGCTCCATTCAAACCAGTCACTCTTTTATCTAAGTTAAAAGTACATTTTTAATGGCAATAACTGACCCTGTAAGAGTATTCACTGCTGTCATTTATGGCAGGCTTTCTTTAAGTTTTCTCTCATCAGAATGGGAATCATTTTTCAGACAATTTACAAGCTTTGACAAAAATTCTCTCATCCAGGAAATAATCTTGCTTAAAAGCTAAATAACCAGGATATTAAGAGAGTAGACAGCCTCTTTTCTTACAAAAACCCACACCAGGCCATAATTAATTTACAGTCAGATCTCCTCTGAATGCAGTCTCACAGCTCCTTTCAATATCGTAACTAAACCAAATTTTCCTTTGTCTATATATCAAAACAATGGTTTTCCTCTACAGATAAGCTAGCCTGAAATTTCAAAGTCCTTCACATAAACAAGGGAAAAAGCAGAAAAGTGATATCCACAGTCATAGACTGCATGGGAGAGTGCAGCATCTGGAACTGTTACTCACATTACAGAAAATCTTAGTCTAACGACCTATTGTCATTATTTGCACAGAAGTTATTCTGATTCCTTGTGATTGTGTTGAGCAATTTATTTAGTCACAAAGAATTAACACACCAAAGAAAAGGAAAAGCTCGTATCTTGTAACATCTGTTCTCATAATTGCTAATTTAGAATGTAAATATAAGCATATAGAAAATAAAAATACAGGCAGGAACACTTAAGGCAGAGCTTTGGCGAATTAGGTAAGGATCTGACCTATTAGATTTAAAAAGCAAGCTAGGTATGTTTAAATTATTACTCATAATGCTCAAGTGTTTGATTTAAAAGCTTACTGTTTATATTTCCCTACCATCAGCTGCCATTATCACAGAACAGCGATCAAGCAAATCAGCAATCTCTTCTTCAGACCAGCTATAAGGAGCTTCAGGATCTGTAAGAAAGACGATGGCTTTGGTGTACATGATTAAATGTCTCAAATGACTGGAGGAAAGGAACTTCTTAGCTTCTGTCAGCAGCTGCTACTCCATAAAGAGAGCACATCACTCACAGGAAATCAAAAACCTTCCCTGTTCATTTTCTGAAGTTCCCCCAGTCCTCTGTGCTATGTCCAACCCTCCCAAGGCTGACTGGAAAGCCAAAGTTTTCTTCCACTTCAGAATTCACAATCCCTTAGCAAGATCACAGTTTAAATACATTAAACCAAGCACACCTTTAAACAAAACCCCAGATACATCCTTATGTAAGTTTTGATTAATCTTCCTATTTTATCATGCTTTAAAAAAATTATTCTTCATTAAAATAATCTTTATGTGAAAGCCCAATAGACATTAAACCTTTTCAACTGGCAGTATCAAAAATTATCATTAACCACAATTTTCTTTGAGGCCCAAGAGAGGCTTTTGAATATGTAACACCAACCACCAAGCCAAAGCTAAAAGAACCCATTCTAAGCACTTACCAGTGCAGAATTCATCTTTCAGCCAATCCAGTTCTTTGACTTTAATTTCCCCTCCTGGGGATGCAGAAAGATCACATCAGTCACAAATTTCAGACAGCACCTGGGCTAAAGTAGAGTCAAAATCTGACCATACAGCACCTACCTCCTGGCTCCATTAGGTGTTTGTTCAATGCAACATTTTGCTCACACATGGCCAGAAGGTCTTCACCAACATCTGTAAAAGAAGTGAAAATTATATTAAAAACAAGAATATTTTGAATGGGTCATGTATGCCTCTCAGACTAATATTCAAAGTTTCCCTCAAACCCATGAGACTAAGGAAAATTCAGAGCAACTCCATCCACTGATGAATGCTTCCCTAATATCCTTCTTCCCTTTGTCTTTCAGTTCTAAGCTTTGAGAAACCATTGAAGAAAGAAGTTAGATCCCTACACTACCTATTTCAATCTGGACAGACTATCCTGAGTTCACTGCAAGGTATCTTGCCTTTAAACTCTTGGGCTTTCTCAGCCCCTTGTTATCTTTCAGTAAATAACATAAATTGATATGTGTTAATAAAAAATTATTAACTATAAATGAAAAGATGAGTCTGAAAGCACCAGGATGAAAGCACTGCTTTGGGAAGTTTCATGAAAATATTTAGCTGAAAAGAACTGCCTTACCTGTGCAATAAACTCTCCTGGCAACTGTCCCCATGATAATGCTGGTAATTCCAGTGCCACCTCCAAGCTCCAGCACTGAGCAGCACCTGAACGTGTCCCTTTGAAAGAGAATGTAATCAGCCAGGAGGAAGGCAGCACGCCAGACCTGGGGACAAGGGAAGCACTTAAAACTGAGTCAGTTCTGAAGCATGTTCCATGAAAATCAAGACTATACAAGGCTGAGCACGTACTTGTTTACCAACGTCTTCTAAGGGGGTTGCCATAGTGTGTTCTGTGGAAATGAGAGTAGAGCAGAAAATAATTATCTCAAAATTGTTCAAATCAAGTTTCACAGTGGCAAGTTTGAAACTAAGGCTATGCTTCCCTTTCACATATAGAACTAAACACCCTTCATTCTAACGAATAACGCTAGATAACGCCAAACACCCATTTCTAACTAAGGAACACTGAGTTTCCCATGGTATACAACTGCCCAAATCACTTCCAGAGAAAAAAGGTAAATATTTATGTGCAATATCCCAGTATTGTGTTCATTATTTTCTTTCACTTAACAAACTGCTGTTCCATTTCTAAAGAAAGCATATTTTTCTTTTGTTTTACAGAAACATATTTGCCACATTTCTCCCTGAATGAAAACTTATTTACCTATTTTAACAACATCACTGCGGGTACACTCCTGCTCTTCATCTTCAAAAGCATCTTCTTTCCCTTTCATCAGAATTACAGGGCACACTATATCTCTCAAAAGATCCTCTGCTTGCAAATCAGAGGCACTTCGAGGCCTTCTGACCACTTCCAAGTCTCCATCATCATCTAGCAGAGCTTCTACTCCTTCACTATTTAATTCTCCTTTTTTTATGTTACTCCTGTCCTTGTCACACAGTTCATCTCCACTTCTGCACTGGTGTTCTCTTCCTGTGGTAATTTCTCCCACGTGTTTCCCAGATGCCAAATCTTCTGTGCTCCAAAGGAGTTTGAAATATGACAGGAATACTGTAAGAACACAGTGTGGGGGGAAAGGTTAAACACCAGATGAGGCAGAATCTGTGCACAGCTTCCACAAACATGAGATTCTGGCATGCATTACTTGTATTAAAAATCTGTAGAGTGAAAAATGATACAGGTAACTTGAAATATAGTTTAATTTGCTATGAAGAAATACTTCTGTTATTAAGTTCTGTCATCAGAAATTAATGAAGCACTTTCACAGCCCACTGGCTGACTGAGCATCTGCACAGCCACAATGGGCACATTCATCTGATTTAGTAATATTTATTTTAACTATTGGCAGAGAGGATGCTTTCTTACAGCCTCTAAAAGTTCAGTACACAGAAGTTCAAATTAAGTTGAAAGCAGAATTAATGTAAGTTAGAATTAGTTTCTTTTGATTAAGATTACTATCCTGTAAGAAAGAAGCATGTTCTAGCAAAATCTGAGTTGAATTTTTGTTTACTGCTTTGAAAGTCTTTAGGAATTCAAGCAACTTCAAGCCTTGAAATTGGCTCAGTATGTAAGAGCAGAAATAAGTGCACAGGAGACAAAGATGACACTTCTGTAATTTTTTTTAAGTGTTCAAACTGATTATTCCAAGAGATTAAATGATTGAAGCTGTTCTCAATGACCAATTAATTAAAAATCTTTTACAACAATCACTCAGTGACACCAGCATCTATTAAAATTTTAATTTATTGAAACATGGACCTTGCAATTTTAATTACAGGAATCTGTACTGCCTGAATACCATACATAAAGAGGAACAAACATTCCATAGTCCTTCCATCTATGTTCATTCCCAATAAAAAGGAAGAGACAAAGTGCTTGACACCACTGCTTTCAATAATTTCACTATTTATGGAGTTCTATTCCAGTTTCTTTAGTAGGCATGATGTTCCAAGGTGGTCTGTGGAAATCTGACTGAGGTGCCTCTCTAGTGAGACCATTTCTAGCTGGATCTAATAAAATCTTCAATGCCTGTCCTAGCATGAGAAATCTTTAAAGTCTCTGCTGTTTGCATGATGGCCAGACGAAACTAATTGGAACAGAGGATGCCATCAGTGAATGAAGCGTTTTGTTCTCCAAGACCATTCTGATCCTCTGAATTTCTATGGCATTCAAAAGGTGGAAAGTCAAACTGACTCAAAGGGGAAGAGACTAAATCCCCATAAACTGCCCCAAAACACAGCAAAGTGTCACTGGTAGATTGTTATGGCATTAAAGACTGGCATATGACCACACAGTTCTTGTCTCAATAACCAGAGGAATCTCCCAGACGGAGCTCATCCAGAGTAGGTGGAACACACTGTCACCTCCTTCTGCTGAAAGGCTTTTTGCATCAAGCACAATCACAGCAACACATGTCAAACAGCAAGAAGACCCACCACAGCACCCACTACCTGGGTTTTGACCTGAACAGGGTCAAAATTATTATTCATTTCTTTGTCAGGCCTACTTTGATACTTTTTCACATTCTCATACACCAGAACAGCTGCAGAGGTTACTCTTTTTATGTCACAACTGGGTTTGAAAAAAACAATTAACACTTCTGTCACAGCAGGACTTTTGTACAGAACATTTTGCCAGCAGCTTCAAGGTCAGTTCCCTTGACAACTTTATAGCAAACTACAAGCTGGCAATCAGCCAGGGGCATTTGCCAACTCATTTCCTCCACAGCCTTGACTCTTCAAATTCTATGTCAGTTAAAGCCAGTGAGTTTTCTTGTTGACATTTTTTTTGAAGCAAACACCCGCCCCTCAAAAAAACCCAACCCCACCAACAATAAAAAAAAACCCAAAAAAACACCACCACAACAACAACAACAAAAAAATCCAAACAAAAAAAACACCACAAAGCCCAGAGAAAGCTGTTATGCTCCCCTGGAATAGATGGTAAATCATCACATAAACATTCAATTAAACTTGATAAATTAATTACTGATTAATTACTAATTAATTATTGATAGCTTCTATTTTAAACTTAAGTTACACTGTTAAAAACCCCTGGGTTCTCACCTTTTGTTTAAGAAACATCACAACCTTATTTTTAATCATGATTCCCAAAGTGCTACACTGACACTATTGCTCAGTGAACAAATACACTAAATTAAACCTTCAAGTGTGTAAATTTGGTTACTTTTTCTCAGAAAGTAATTTAAAATTCAATTTTTAAGACAGGCTGTCTATAAGTTTTCATTTCTGGAGTTAATTTCATGAGAATACAGCTAGCCCTCTTTCTAAAGACTGAGTAGGAGGTGATTCTGCTTATGACTGGAATAAAATATGTACCTACTAATATCAACCACTTAGAGGAGGATTCAGCCTTACAAAGATATGAGTACAGTTAAAACACAGCTCCATCAGTGTCAGCATCCATTACCTGGCTGTCCAACTGCGTTCAGTCTCACCATGAGGTGTCTTTTGCTTGGGCAGTGCAAGTGAACATCAGACAGCACAGTGTCACTTCTAAACGTGGGGTTATCCATCTCCTTCTCCATGAAATCTACCACGGGGTGCTGGTGAGAGGAACATCTGCAGCGCTCAAACAGTTCCTTAAGCAGTGCTGCCACACAGGGATTCCATTCTCTTCCCCTTACAGGCATCCAGTAACAGCTCTGCTCACCAAGGGAACCTCAGCACAGTTTCTGAGAAGCTGTGATCGTGCAAGCTCCACCACGCTCCCAGACAACAAGTTACTCATCAGGATATTCAACCTAAAACCAAACACAGGCAGATTTTAGTGGTCCAGCAGTATTCCAGAAGATAAAAATCAGATGACACTGTTCAATAAAGTAGCAATGCTCCAATGCTTTTATAGAATTCTCAAATATGTAAATGTTAGTAGCTCAGCGACAGTCACTGTATATTTTAGGAAGAGCTACTAATTTGCTTGTGTTACAAACAACATCCCCTGAAAAAAAACAAACATTACCATGACTGCACAGAATTACAATACTCAATCAAGGTCTTCAAAGGGAATAAGGCTATTTCCTGTGCTGACATTAACATATGCTAAATTTGCTATTATCCAGTTGTGCTTGAACAAGATCACTGAATGGTTCAGGCTGGAAGGGACCACAGTGGTTCAGGCTGGAAGGGACCACAGTGGCTCATCTGGTCCCACCTCCCTGCTCAGGCAGGGTCATTCTGGAGCACAGGATCATCTCCAGATGGTTCCAGAATATCTCCAGTGAGGGAGACTCCACTCTCTGTGGACAATCTGTGCCAGTGCTTGGTCCCTGCACAGGGAAGTTCTTCCTCCTGTTCATCTGGAGCTTCCTGGGCATCAGTTCCTGCCCCATTGCTGGGCCCCAAGGAGCAGCGCCCGGTCCCTGCTCTGAGCCCTCCCTTTGATATTTACACACATTAAGGAGGTCCTCCTCAAGTCACCTCAACTTCAGCCTTTCCTCGTAGGAGAGATGCTCCAGACCCGTGATCAGTTCAGTCGCTCCCTGCTGGGCCATCACACATATCCCCACTCAAAACACTCCAGGCTTTAGGAGCAGTGTGTCTATGTGTATCTGCGGCTCTGTTAACTTCTGCCAGCTGCACACCCGCCCTTTCCCGGCGGGAGTGGGCGCAGGAGCCAGGGCAGCCCCGCCGGGCAGTGTCCCGGGGCCAGAGCTGCTCCAGCGGGGCTCCGCTTCCAGCGGGGCCGGG